AATAAAAACAACAAATTGTCAGAAATAATAAAAAAAAGGAGCAAAAAGCTTGCTAAGGCATTTGTAGAAAGTTCAGTCAAGTGTCAGTGTATTAAATTTTAGCACTGCTAAATCCAGCAACAAAACATTTGAATTGTGCAACATCAGTCAGATTACAAAATAACTTTTTCCACATCGTCCTTCCTGGCACTAATGGATTACTTCTGTGTTGTTTGGCTTGGAGATTCAGGTGTTTACCAGTGATAAGAAGGGCATACAATGTGCATATTTTGTAAACTCCCTCACTTTCTAAACACAATACAATAGAAACAGAATTGCATAAGAGTCCCAACCAGAAACATGATTCACGACTCTTCTTGTCAGTATTTTATGACAACCTATGTTTTAACTGGAAGAGTGCAATTATTACTAAATCAGTTTCACAGAGTTCTGTGTGCTAAAAACAGAGAAGCTTTACAATGATTTGTCTTTGGAACACACTCATAAAAATAAGTTATGTCAGTGCAGCTCTGTGGTATGAGCTCATCACTTTTCTGCTGTGTTTACCTGGCAATGGAGACGTTTTTTGCAAATATTACTTGTTCAGTATAAAGAAGTTTGAGTGCCTGCAAAAATAAGTAAGCAACTAAATACTATAATGAAGTACAATTAGTCAAAGTAATTTTTATCCTTTCTAACACATTATGCCTCTGATAATTACTTCATTTAAGATCTAATTGACCAAAATAAAAAAAGTATTCCTGTGTACTTACCTCGTGAAACACAATATAAGTATGGATATATATCTGACAATGAAAAATCCAACTAGTTAAAAAAGTAAAACAGTAAGGTTGTTGTCTACATTTTCAAAGAAATAATGAAAACAGAAAGTCATCATACTTTAATAATAAATACCTATATGTTTATAGAGAATGACTGAATATGATTGAATCCTATTTTTCATTTGTTTGAGTTTAAAGCTCGAATTGGTTAGCACTAGTAGCAGGAAAAGGTTTAGGTTTGTACCTGCTGTTTTTCTGTGTTAGCGTTGACAACATGTCCTGGTTGTACTCCACCTTTGCCAACATCAACTGAGACATTTTAAACCCAGATACAAATAATAAATGATTACAGCCACAAAATAGGTCTCTCTTTTTAAATCATGCACAGTGTAACAACAGCCACACAATTGAAATAAATCAGTCAGACATACAGGTTTAAGGATTCACAGTATACTGCACCATTACCACATTAGAGTTCTTTCCTGTTGCAGTCACATATTATTAGACAAATTGTTTTCAAATTAGCTTATTTTTTCTTTTATAACCCTTTCACGCATAGTGGTCACTACAGTGGATAGCTATTCAAAGGTTGTGTTCTTGTATTTGTGTCAGTGATGATGGTATACTGGCACATAAACCTTTTACACAGTGTATATTATTTATTCATTTGTCAAATTCATAAGTCAAAACGTATGTTGTCCGCATGTAACAAACTCTTTGAAAAAAATATTTTTTATGCCTAAAGATGAAAAGAAAATCCTGATTGAGGTTGTCATAATTCATGCATGAAAGGTTTAAGTATTTTGGGGTTAGGTAAAACCCACTTTTTGAACAGTGCACCTGCGCCTATGAATCCTTTGACTGTTTGCTCCCTGACATGTTCTAATGGCTCATTCTCGTGTTTCTGTGTTCAGATGTTTAGCCTCAACTTGCATGGATTTGTCTGAAAGACAAGACAAGGCTTTAAGAGAGATTAATGTCCTCTATGTATCCAACACAGATAATATCATTCAGGGATGTACTCCTGGAGCTCCGTATGTCTCATTGTGGACATGCTCAACATTCTTAGACATGTCACAAAAGAACAACATTAGTGGGTAACGATCAGCTGTTTCAGATGCTTTGCTGGTATCAGCCAAAACCAATGAAAAACATCTTTGAAGTGACTTTAGTGCATTTGGCTCATGCAGGACTTGGTAAAAACAAAGAGATGTTTAACAGCAAAAACTGTTAACTTAAACAAAAGTCTTTGATATATGAGCACCACATTTTTAGCATTAAATCATTTGAGGTCAGTCTTAAATCCTACTGAGAGTTAGCACTGCCTGTTCACCTATATTTTAGATAAGTGCTTCAGTACACATTTAGCGTAGCTAAAGAGCTGCTTTAACCGATTAGAAGCAATTATTCATTGACAACATTCAAATAATGCTCAGGTGATAAAAGTAAGCACTAACTTCTCAGGTGCAATTTAAAATGAGCAACACAGCAGAATAGCCGACTGTTTTTTTTACTAAGAGCCTTAAATTCCCTCTGAATGTGTCTTTCATTTCATGTGTTTCACAACTGGCTGGTCTTATCCATGAGTGACAAGAAGTTGGTAACGAAGCAGAATGCAGCCTCAGACCTCGATGAAAAACACATTTGTTCCTGCCTGCTTATGTGCATATACAAAAACACTAAATAAAAACCACAACCAAAGAAAATGGAGAAAGGAGACTCTCCTTCATGGGAAAAGAGGAACCGTGGCCTGTGTGGTCGTAATAATGAAGCAGAGGCCGTAGTTTCAACAGCTGCCTTTTTGCTGTGGTTCTGTAATAATGTTACTTTATGTATTTTATGAATTTATTTGATTCTAGAGGGAATGGAGCCAAAGGAGATTGTGCAGTTTAATTTGATGTGAGAGACCATGTTACTATGTGTATACATGTATACAGTGCTAGTATAAGTGAGTGCATGTGTATTTCTAGTGTGATTCATTTGCGGTGAATAAAACCAGCTGTTTCTATTGAATGGTGGCCAGGAATCCCGCGTACCCAGGGGAGTGACGGTGTAACAGACCACTGAGTACAGACTTAGCTAACATCGCCTGACCATCCTCTGGCCAGTGTGTTGTGCTTCCCTCTAAGGTGACTGTTGGGCAGATCGTCGCTCACAACTATGAATAACACTATTTCTTCCAGTGAATCATCAAAAGCTGCCCACAGAAACACAGGCATGCAGTTGGTAACTAAGCAGCTCTCCCTAAAATATTTGTATCCCATTCACGGGCAGCAAAATCCCCTAAAGTGTTCTTAATCTTTAGTGTTGGAGCTTATGTTGGGTAAGTGAAATTAAGATGAACTACCCTCCTATATGTCATTATTAGTACACTGATGTATGTATGTGTAATATGCTGCAAAAGTGTATCACAGGATTGGTAATAGTTTTCCCCCACGTTAGATTCATGTTGTAAGAACAAGATTTTGATCTACACTCCACAATCTGGCTCTGATTTCATTCAATTACTCTTTCAGGTTGAGTTCTAATTAGTATTAATGTTGTTTTGTATTAGCCATATATCAAGCAGACAAATAAAGGTACGGAATCGTCTCATCTTGAATTAAATAGTGATATAAAAGACCTGCAAAGGAAAGGAGGAATATTTTTTCATTCCTAATAAAAAGAAATTAAATGTACAGTTAACAAGACTTCCTTTAATGTCATGATGCATAGTGAAATTTATCATAATGTAAAAAATAACAAACATTTTGCTGGATAGTATGGTGACTTAATCAGATAGTGACACACAATCCACTGCTAAAAGCCCATGGCAAATGTTACGTTGGGCAATCAGGCTGTGATTGCAAGTATGATTAAAAATAATGGGTGGATAATTAGTATGCATAGAAACTGACCTCTGCACAGCGGCTATTTACAAAAAAAAAAGAGAAAAAAAATCATATAGGGTGCATTATAAATTGTACCCACTCCACCTTCAGGATATTTTCCAAGCCAAGCAAATGGACAAATGTGCTTTAATTGCACTGACCATGTTCAGTTCTAGAATTGTCCACAGTGACAGATTGTCAGCAGTCAACAGTAACTTCAGTTTGATGCTCTATACAATTTGCAAGAAATTGAATGCCTATTTACAGCATATAAAATGTTTTCAGTGTTCTGCATTAGTTCACAGGACAACAACAGAAGAGATAATTTGTCTTTGACTGGCTGTAAGTTGGAAACCATGCATTGAGCATCTCATGAAATTAGCAAGTTTTAGATCTGGATCGATCTTGGAGATTGTGGTTTCATTTCTGGGACCTAAACCAAGTCCAGCCTCTGCTGACACCAGGAATTTGTTTGTTTGTTTCTTTTTTATTAGAAATCACTCCACCCTTTGCTAGATATTGCAAACATCAAAGAAATAAATAATTCCCTGGCTCTGAGACTTCACAAACTCACTCAACAAACTTCCTGGTCTAGTATGCAGATGACATTCAAATGTTTGCATACTATGTCTGAGTGTCTGATCAATTACACTCAACCCGTTACTGGGTCTTATAGAATAGAAGCAAGACAATAAAATAGACTGAAGTAAAGTCAAGTCATTTTGGTGCCAAAGAGGTTAGAAGGTTAGAGCTCATGAGCTCTATGAATTAAGTATTCAAATCTAAATTTAAATAATGTTTACCAAATATAAATTCAGGCCACTGACCAGAGCAAATACATGCTTTATTTATAAAACTATTGTTACTATTAATGCATGTTTCATGGATCTCTCCAAAAAATCTATCAGGGGGCTGCCGCTCCTATGAAACAACATTCTACTCCACCAGTCAAAGTGCATTTCTGATTTTCTGAGTAAGGCAGGACAGACTCAGTAAAGCTGTTTCCAAAATGAAATCCAAACATGATGAAACTGTTTGGAGATAAACTCACAATGTCCACATTTCAAATGTCTAACTGGAAGCTTTGCTTTATTGCAAACATATTTTTGCATTTTCTTGATATTTTTGTATGCTCTGAGCAGTTCATCAGGCCAGCCTAGTAGTTTGATTTTTTTTCCTACACCAGTTATAGTTTCAATCTTATTAAAGCGTTTTTTAAAAGTCTTTACAACGCCACGGGTGCTTGACTTTCTTCCAAGGAATGTATTTATCAAATACAGCGGTAAAGCCTGGGGGTCATTTAGGTTCATGTATGCTGTTTAGCCAATTTATTGTTTTATCATTATTATGTTTAACGTCATCACCACGAATGGGGAGTAAGGTTGTATACTTAGTTGCGTTAAGTCGCTTCTTTGGAGGCTGGAATGTAAATCCAGGGGGGATTAGTGAGAACACAGTGAGCTGTAAACCCTTCAGTAGCTCTCCAAGAGGTCTTTGCCTTAGTGCGTAAAGTTGGGAAGGGGGCTTCGGACGCACTGCGCAGCACTTATTATCCTACAGGCTCCATGTGCGTCTCCTCTGCGGGATACTTGACAGGGATTTGTGATATTTTGATGGCACTACCCGCGCGGGTCACTGACAGATGAAAACAGTGGCGTTTGGCGGATGTTAAGGCGTTTTCACTCGAGAAGATCATTTGTCCCGGAGCGCAAAAAGGGACATGGGTCAGCTTTATGGTGCGACTCTTTTACCATTTTGGGTTTTCTGTGTCGTTTTCCTCTGGGAATCTGGTGCCAGCTCCATCAGGACGACGCTTGCAATGGACACCTCAGGGTAAGTCTCAGAGATATTAGTTGTGGGTCACATATAAGCAATATTGTTTATTGTTAATGAACGGCAGTGTGATGATGAAACTATGTCTGCTGCGCTCATAATTAAGAGAAGTTCTATTATGTGCGTTTCTATCTTGAAGTATAAAAAGTTTCAAAAGTAGTACAAATTTCTGCACGAAAATGTTTGACTTATCGTTTATTTATGCTTTACGGTGGTTTTATGAAGTAATGTGAGATTGAAGCTCTGCAAGTTTCTTGGCAGCTACCACTCCACTCATTACATTTGTTTGGCATTCAATTAAACCTCAAAACAGTTATTTCATTGTCAGATTAGCATACGGTGCCAGAAATCATAGCAGAGTTTAGTCTACGTTTTATGGGTTTCTGCTCTTTGCGACATGCTCTGTGAGCAGCCTGTCACGGAGACCCCTGGATGAACCGCTGCAGCGCGTCTAATCTAATGTGATGCTCAAGGAAATGCAAAAAGCAAAGGGAAAGTCCAAATGGTTGAAATCGGTTGCGGTGAGGAGAGCCAAATGTTGCTTGTGCTCAGACATAATATGACAGATGCTGTTAAGATGCCCGGAGAGAGTAGGTCAGGAGGTGAGGAGTCAATGGGAATGGAGCACATGCTCCTAATATTCTGTAGAAGACAAGAGGAAACCACTAAACCGCAAAGCAACAGGTTAAACACGGGGTAATTAACCAGAGTTTCGTTTGTCCAAGCACATGAAAACATGGGCATTGCATCTTCAGATTTATGTTTCCAAGGTATGTGTGTTCATCGGATTCTATTACGGAGAAATGAAAATTACCGCTGTGATTGATGCCCTTCTTGCTCGAGCACATTACTACCTCTGGTAGTGTTAGTAGTGGCTGTGCACACAGGAAATATGACTGTATTGATATATTAGTCTGTTTCTTTGGCTGTTAAGTTTTTATGAAAATGTCAGAGTAGTTATTTGGGATTATGTTTCTAAATTAAAAATATTCTCTGGGATTCTTCTGTTATGTCTTATGATATTGAAAACTGACAGAAAAATGTTACCAGACAGTCAAAGTGTTGTAAGCAATATCACAAATATCAAATAAATAGTTGCCTGTAATAGTCTAGCAATATCCAAACTGTATGATTTATCCATTGTAAATCTGGCTACTCTAAACCTTTCTTAGTCAATACCAAGTTCACCAAAACCTTTTCAGTAAAATTTGTATTCATTTAGTTTAGAGTTTACGTTAACAATATAATTTTATTATCAAGTAAGTGCAAGTCAAAAGACATTAAGTATCTTGTTTATTTGATTAAAACACTGCAAAATGTATACTTTAATTTACAAAAATATAAAACAAATAAAAGCATAAACTTATCCGGGGGAGAAACTGCAACTGCAAAGAACAGAAGATTTTTCATATATACTTTTAAAAGTGAATCAGGGTAAACCCTCAAATATCAATTCAAAAACTGAAATCTAAATTTTAAAAAATCAGTTGGGCTCCAATAATGCCATGCATTTGCATACATGCAGACTAGATTCACACCAGTCTTTTATGTAACTGTACTTTCAAATAATAGCTTGGATTCCCTGTGGTATCAAACTTTGAATATGGGGGAATTCCATGCTAAACTGTAACATCCCCATTTTCGAATCCAACCTTGGATCTCTTTTTGCTTGTACTTCCCCACACTATGTTTTATTACTATGTAGCTTAACACTGCTGGAAAACAGTGCCAATCAATCATATTTCCTTTTCCCTTTTTTTTGCTTAGAATGGAGTGTCCTGATAATAAAATCTTGACGGTGGAATATCCCTGCATTAGGGCCGATGGGAAGAATGGCACTTGCTTCAGGTAAGCTGTGCAGCTGTCACTCAGATCATACATATGGATTTTCCTTGGACCCCCGAGGGCCTAAAATCTTGGCCACTAAGTGTGACAACAGTCAGTTACTCTATATCATACATTTATATCTATTGTTTTCCCTAGAAGAGTGACAGGAAATGATGAGTGCCTGTTAATCCTTGTAGGGCGAATTGAACATGAATTATTCTGAGGTTATGGAACAGTTTCTGCAACCACTAAACCACTCTGCTGTGTCATTTCCACAAATCCACATAGTTTATCCCCTTTTGGAAACTCTACATATCCACTTGGGAGTGAAAAATAAAAAAATTCCCAAGGGTCATTACATAGAGATTAAATGACGATCCTCGGTGAAGATAAACGTGTCAGATAACCTTTCAGAGCATTCTTTTTTTTTTTTTTTTAACTTGTGTTGTTGATTCTCTTTGATAACTACTAGAGAATGTATAATTTCAGTGTTTAGCAACACTAACGTTGTTTTCCCTGAAGTTTCCATCAGCACGGAGATGATTTCCACTCTCCTGGCCCTGTGACAATAAAACAGAACTTGAGTTTGGGTCCAAAGCTAAAACATTTCGGGAAAGAATCCCCCTTCCCCTGGGAGTAAGGCCTGTATTTTAACCTAAAAAGTAGAAGCAGTCTGTGAAGTGATTAGCTATTTTTATTATACTATACATAGAGAAGGACAAAAACCTCTTTAATTAACAACACCAAATTTGGTTGAGCTATTGAATCAGCATTTAATAAAGGCAGTTTTTATGTAATATGTACAAAGTCAAGTAAAGTTGAACAAAGATTAGAGGGATATAGTGTGGAGCAATCCTCTAAAGTTATGAAATATTACCTGAAGTAACTGGCCCCTCTCTCGTGCTTTTTCTTTATTACTCATAATCTCCAGAAAATGTTTGACATTGTATTCTGTGTGTTTTGAAACAAAGGTTATGCAGACATTATGGTACTTTATAAGACTTTCACCTCCTGATACATCACACACAACATGAAAATGTTAACATGGATCACTAATGCTGACACCGAGATAAGTTTTGTCTGAAGCCAAACTTTGGCTGAGGTTTGCTTGTTGGTGTAAGAATATCTTTTAATAAATGAGGCACCAGGTCTGGTGTGAGGCCAGACCATGTGATCTGTTTGCTTTCAAGGTTAGACTGTAACAGGCTCTGTGTCTTGTTTAATTTCTGGCTCTATGAGAGATCTGTGGTGCTGGAGGAGGTGGATTAGATGAGGTTGTATTTTCCTTGCCATGCTTTTCTTTGTTCTCTGTTCAGCACAGACCTGGATCAAAAAGATTTCACAGATGACTTCATGGGGAAACCAGATTGGTTCATTGTGTATATAATATATGACGTTCAATTCTGTTTTAGCGTAGGCTGTATGTTGTCCAGACATAACTGATGAGTGCCACACCACGTATTCATCTGTATTAAAAGAGGTACTTCATGAGACTCGCATATTTGTTTTTCATCGTCCGTCATAGATTTATCAATCTTCTGGATTTTATCCAGCACATTTCTCTAGACAATTACTGTTAGTTACTGCTGCTCTGTGTGTCAGACTTATCCATGAGCAACATCAATTTTAGTGCAACTGGCTTTTACTCTCTCTTATTTTTTGTCACCATCTACTGGACTTGACCAGTCAAGCTTGCAGTGGCTAGTATTGTGATGAATGAACATGTTCTAAAAGGCTTAAGGTCAAAGAACTGCAGTGTATCCCTCTTGTACTGATAACATGCATTAGAGCCAGATTTATTCCCTAAAAGGGATAAATGGAGCAGATAAAGTGGCAACTTCCATTGTGTGAGGTCTTGTTTGGCTCAGTCACTCATGAATCCTGTTGTTTTATTGCTTTTTATATTATTTTACACATGTGAGCAACATCAGGAGGAACCTGCACTGAATTAGCATGTGCTATAGCCAAAGTGGTATATCTGGGCAGATAATACAGAACATGCACTTTTTTATATATCTGAGTTAGCAAATGTGCAATTGTTACAAGATAAGAATAAATCATTTGATCAACTAAAATATTTCAGCATGCTGATGAAGAGCTACACACATGACATCTTAATTGGCCATCACTATAATAAGGAAGACAATTACAAATAATTTGGAGCATTTAAACCTAACTGTCTAAATTATCCTGGGTATTTTTAGTTATGGGCATGCTCAATGACAATGCAGTTTGGGAAGTCACAGTTTTATTTCGTTGTTGCTTTATTTTACAGCTTTATGGTATTGCAGTAGTTAGTACTACCTCCTCGCAGCATTAAGGTCCTGGGTTTGAATTTGCTGGATGACTGGGGCCCTTCTGTGTGGAGTTTAAAGGTCTCTGTTATATTAACTGGTGATTTAAAATTGGTCCTATGTGTGCATATATTTTAGTTTATCTCTCTCTGTTTACTCAGCCATAGACTGGCAACCTATTAATTGGGATAGAGATAAGCTTTTGGAAAATTGGCCTTTTGTTGATGGGGCATAAACTCTATATGCAGGGTGGATACAGCCACTCTTTAATTATATTCTTCAATGGTCAGCAAGGGGCAGCCCCTCTGGTTGCAAAAATGCTTGGTCGTATAGAATCCTAGGAAAATCATTCTATTGTATCTATCTGCTCTTCCATTAATCCATCCATCCATCTTGTTAATTCAATTAGGGTTGTTTAGAAACTGGAGTCTTGTTCAGCAGTCACAAGCCAAAAGGCAGGACACACCCCTGTAATCCCCAAAAGTTGATTCTGTTCATGTGGACGTAATGTTTTCAGTGGGAGAAACAATTTGTCAATCAAGTGACTTCTTCAGTCTCAGCTGAGTGCAGGTTTCCCCAAGTTATACACAGTGTATTTGCACAATAACGGAAAAAGGCACCACTGGCAAACAATGGGTTGTGAGGTCAGTTTCATAACCATTAATATGCAAATTATTAAGACCATTGATCAACAACCACTGACAAAGACCATTGATCAATGTCAACTGATCAATGGTCAATTGTCATTGATCAATGGTCACCTGGAGCTTTCTTTAGGTGCCTTCCCAGCTTTGACAAATGTCCCGCTGGGATAACCGCAACAAGAGTCAAACCTTGAATACTGATGTGTATGCGCAGGTTTACGGTACACATTTTACAACTTTTAAACGTTCCCAATTACTCATGGAAATCTCTCAGTCTAAGAAGGCTACTCTGCCACTTACCATCTCCTGCTTGGTGAACTTGATGTGTTGTCCACCGAGTTAATGTGATCAGTGAGTTGTGTTACGTCCTCACATTTGATTTTCACCCAGGTGTCATCGACATTCCTGAACCACTGACTTGGTGGTGTTCCAGGGTAGGATAACAGAGTCCTCTTTTCCACTTCTTGCATGTACACGTTGGCCACAATGGGTGAAACTGGGGAACCCACGGCAGACCCATCGGCCTGTATTACTGACCATTGTATGTGAAATATGTAGAATGAAGACAGTTCCAAAAGCAAGCACACTCGGTCAATGCTGAGAGTGGTCCTGTTGCTGAGATTAGAGTTATCTTGTAATCTCTTACGAATTACCGCCACTGCTTCAGTGACTGGAACACAAGTGAAGAGAGATGTAACATCCTCCATAATAACATCTCTTACCTTCTCAACAAAATCAGGGTGTTCTTGATGTGGTGTTTATAGCTACCTACCAACGGGTTGAGGATCAAAGCCAGAAACTTTGAGATGCTATAGGTGATTGAATTGATCATACAGACAATTGGTCTTAAAGGTACACCCTGTTTATGTATCTTTGGTAAACTATACAGACTTGGCGTAGCTTTCCCTGGGTTAATAGCATTTTCTTGTTCTGACTACTTCAGACAATATATCACCCTCTTCCAGTAACCACTACCTGGGTCTTATTTCACAGGGTCATGAGTATTTTTGTCACTGAGCAGTGACAAAATTGTTTCATGATAGTCTTTCTGGTTAAGCAAAACCATGCATCTGCCCTAGTCTTCCAGAAGGATGATACATGTTGGAATGTTGGGCGATGTCAAATCACTGATTAATCTAATATGTGAGACAAAACGCAGGTTCCATCCACAATCTTACAGCATTTTGTCATAGCCTTGAGTGAGAAAGCCTACACTATTCTGAGGCAATAATGCTGACTCCCTCTTTACAAAGACCTCCGTAGAATACCAAATGCAATTCTGCTGAAAATAGTTTGTATTATAACCTCACATGACCTCTGTACATGTAAAGAAACCCACAGATTGACAGGCCTGCCTTGCTGAGTTGTCGTGGCTAAGCCATAAGTGGACAATTGAAGTCTTTCAATTGTATGTGACCCACACCGGGTCAGTTTGACAGTCTAATCTCAACCCGCAGCATTGCAGTGTCCAGACAGGCTGTACATTTTCCAGGAATTTCTGGTTCTCAGGGATTGTATTTCTTTACCTGGCACTGGTCTCTCATATTCAAATAATCTGGGAATATGTGCTATTTCTATAGCTTTTATTGAAGAAGACATGTTCGGCGTTTGGAAAAATTCACACATTCCAAAGAAAATGAGCTTAGTTGCTGTGAAAACAGCAAAGGAAATTATGGAACTTAAATCATGGTTGCTCTTACCACGAGCTGTTTCACTTTTATGAAAAGGATCTTTTAATGTTTGACAGTCATATTTCACAAATATTGGACATTCGCTTATGAATCTGGTATTGCATTCATTAAATAAATACAAATTAGTCCAAACTGTTGTCAGCACAATGAAGCTCTGACTCACCATGTATTGCAAGTGGTTGCTGTCAATGTTTATTTCGCTGATTATCTCAGCTTTGGTGTTGCCTTCCTCTGCTGTATTCCATCTGCCTTAATGTTAGTTGAATGCCTGAAATGTAAATGACATGTCTCGGTCTCAGGGGGGATTCCTGGTGTTGTGCAGAACTAAACTCACCATCTAAACAAAGACCGCATGTCCCCTCGCCACTGTGGCTTTCACAGCAATGAAGATG